CTATTGCATGTGCAAAGTAATCTCCCCAGGATATAAAAGAAGAAGATAATTTCTCATTATGTGTTGTAATGGGGCTCCGTAATGGGGCTCCAATGTCCTTATGAGAGGCAAAGTCCATAGATCAAAGCATTTTGAAATATTACCCTAAATTCTGGTGGTTGCAAGTTGGCAATGTCTGTGACTGTTATCATTGAAAACAACAGCAAATGTCAGAGATGCCAATAAATTTAATCATCACAATCCTTAAAAATAAGTTGATGTCTTTTTTTATACAAAATGGTGATGTATCCAGTGGATCAAGATTTCTTATTTTCTATTGCTCAGTGGCTGTTCTCGTTTCCAACAGTGATACTTTGTTAACAGTGTTACCTGTTACAATTCAGTTTCTAGTCTATTATTGACTGAGGGGAATTCTGAGATACCACTCAAGATTGGGTAGATTTGTTTGCCATAAAGGTACTGGTTTCTTCATTGAATTACAAGTATTTCTCTTTTCGCTGTCAATTTTCTGAGTGTTCAGTGACGAACCTTTGAATATTTTTACACTTCGCTGTTAGATGGGGGAAGGGGGCCTCTAATCCTTTTTTAGCTGTGTACTGTAGAGAAAATCCTGGCAGTTCAATAATCTAGTGAGCATGTAAAATGCAGTTTAATAGAATCCAGATCCCTGCCAAATGACTCCCTGTTGGGCATGATATATCCCAGTTTTTGGTGTATTGCTGTCGTAAGAACATGTCATTTCCAGGGATGAGCAGACCAATAGCTCATCTAGTATTAAAGCAGCCTATTACTGAATGTGATAGGTGCTTAATGCCTTAATGGAAGCTGACATAAAAATGTAACCTCTTGCTACAAAAACTCCACCTTCTTGAATGTAGCTATTCCTGTTAAAGCATAATAATGTGTTGCCCGTTAAGGTTATTCCATAATACAAAACTGAGTAATACAATACCTGGTAATTTATATATTACAGATTATTCTGTAGTGTGTGTTAAGCAACAGAGTCCATGCATTGGTGACCTTGAGGCTAGATTACTGCAATGTGCTCTATGTGGGGCTGCCCTTGAGCTTGGTCTGGAAGTATCAGATGGTGCAGAATGCAGCAGCTAGACTGCAGATAGGATAGATGACTGAGAGCATGCAAAACCTCTGCTAAAACATCTACCACTGGCTGTTCATATCCGACCCACCCATGTTGTGAGTGAGTATATAAAGCCCTTAAAATGACCACCTGAGCCCTTTTACCTTTGTTGTGGCACTAAGATGGTGGTTCTCAAATTATTTTCTCTGGGCCACACTTTGCTCACTCTACATCATTTTTTTTTCTTGATCAGAAATACATTGGAAAGCAAAAAGAAACAACTCATAGCAGAGCTTGATGGATAACTGTCAGGCTTCGGGGAATCGACTCCCCCGCCCCCCTAACAGCAGTAAATAAGCAGATCAAACAAAAGGAAATTCTTACCAGTTAGTTTCTTTAATAAACACAGCGAGAGACAAAAGAAAGCATCTCCCTAGAATGGCGGTGCTCCCAGTTAAGGCTTACCACCCTCCATCCCTATTAATCTATGTCACTCCCAAATCTTGTAATCTGAGTTTGTACCCTCTGTGCTTTCTGTTCTAACACTCTCTGAGCTCTCCTTGTCTTTGGGGATGGGGATTGAATGTTGTCCAGAGACTTTGAATCTTCTAGTGTTTCTTCTGCTACCTGTTCCCCATCCAGTACTTCCCAGCTTCTGCCTTCTGAACTATGCCCCTCTGCAAATCACTCTTCCAAATCTGTACTGTCCTCCTGCTGCCAACAACTTTCCCATGCACCTTCAGACTATTGTCTGGACCATGTCCCAGATATTGTTGGACCCCATCTCCTATCAATCCCAGCATTCATAGACAATGGTCAAAAATGGAAATCCCTGCAACGATGCCATAATAAAAGTTCATACTACCTCAGAATGGGACTGATTTTTAAATTGACTTGCAAGGCTTTGGAATTTTGTTCCTCCCGCCCCTCCTTTCCGAAGTACATTGCACATTATTAAGTTGTAAGAAAGAACTTAGTTACAAAAATGGCTTAAATATCTTCCCTGTTTTGATCATTGTAATTTTAAAATGAAAAATTATAAGCTAGTATGATTTGTACTGTTTTAATTAACTACAAGGCAAGGTTATTGTAAAGGTTAATTAAAATCTGCTTCCTATGACTGTGGGGAAAACACTTTATGATAAGTACTTCAAGAGGTATTGTAGTTTTCTGTATGTGCACTGAAGCATGATAGCTTCCATCGGTTTAACATGTACAAAAAAAGGATTGTGGGTTTTTTTGTATGTGTGGTTTACTCTGAAAGCCTGATAATCAAAAGTATAATCATATTGCTCAAACTAAAATATAAGAAAGACCGGGGGGAAATGTGTGTGTGTACTGTACTTGCAGATTAACTAGCTATTTTTTGTTTTGTTTCCAAGCACTTTGTCACATCAAAATGCTGGTGCATGTTAAAAATATGCCAAGATTATTATTACTGAAGAGACAAGATCAAAATAAATCACTGTGTGCTCCTCTGGAACTCAGCTGAGGTGGTAATGTCAAGTTACGGGTTTTCCTCTTTGATTAAACTCATTCTCAGAGGTGATTTGTTCCACAAAGAAAACAATAATTAATCAGTTAATTACACTGCTGGCTTACCTTATGAACTTGGGAGCAAATGGAATTTAATTTCCAAAGAATATCAAGACTTTCTTTTCACCTTTCTTTCTTCATCTTCAAGTAGTGTCAGATTACCTGAGGGAAATAGCTCATATAAAATACAAGGTGGTGTGCTTTTTAAGGATTTCTGTGACATATCCAAATCGGGGATCTGTTGATCCTGCATCAGCAGGACAGGGGTGGTTTGCAGCTGAGAACATAAGGAGCTAATGGGAGCTGAATTGGCCTTTAGAATTCTTAATTGCTAAGGTATGGAAAGGAAATTCTACTCCCTCAAAATTAGATTGGCAAAATAAAATGTTGGAATATGCTTAACTAGCAAGACTCCAACACCATACAGATCAAATATTTAATAGAGAGTGGAATATTTACAGAGAATACTTAAAGGAACATTGTAACAACATAAATTCTTTGGTAGGCCTGGATTGATTTCTGCATGAAATAAGAAATTTCTACAGAATTAACATAACAGAATAATTTAGGAGAGATAAAGTTAAGTGCGCAGCTGTAATGAAACTTAGGAATCACAATGGGGGATCAGAAGTCATGTTAGAATTAGTGATGGATGAACCCAGTTTTGTGTATGGAGTGTTAATTTTGGGTTGCCTTTTGTTGATCGTTGTGTATTGTCATGTCTTGTTTTGTTTTTAAAACCAATAAAGCATTTTTTTTAAAGAAAAAGGGGAGGAATTGGCCTTGATTGTTCTGATCAGGTGATGGACAAGGAAAGTTCAGTCTTGTTTCTCTTACTTGTATAGGTAAGTTTGTAATGTTTGATGTTTTATTATGTTTCTGTATATGCTGGAAGCTGCCCAGAGTGGCTGAGGCAACCCAGTCAGATGGGCAGGGTACAAATAATAAAGTTGTACATAATTCCTCAATCTGGGAGGCGTTCCATGCAAAATAGAAAACTGAACTCCAAAACCTTGAATTCAACATTAGATACGTTGAATAGCTCTGTAATGTATTATCTGCCCCAGCTTTATCCTCTGTATAATAGAGGTGGAGTATAAGTTCATTTTAAGCGACAATAAATTTCTGTGCGATAATTGCTGCTTTTGACTGGTGGCATGAATGTGCGAAACAGTTATCTGATTTGTGCTGTTCTCTTACAGCCATTTCTCTCTCATATAGTGTCTGGCAAATGAGGGAAGGCAACCTGAGACATGATTAAAATAGTGTGATCCATGATAGCAGAGAGGTTTCACACATTGAGGCTGCAATCCTAGACACACTTACCTGGGAGTAAGGTTAATTGAACTCAATGGGACTTCTGCAGAGACGTCCATAGAATTGCCGCGCCAGACAGTCAATTGATCTTCACAGTTATCATGTGGGAAACCAAAATGTGTTACTACTTAATTTGATACAGTGAATCGAGTCTCCAACTCCTGATGTCAGGAATTGTTGCAGACAATATAATACCTCAGCAATATAATACCTGCTAGTAAATGGCTTTTGAAGATGGAATTTCTCCCAGAGCTTCCTGCTTCAAAATTAGTTGCACTCTTGTGGAGTACAAAACAGGCAACTACATTATTTTGCAAGTTCTGTTTTAGAGCACTTTGTTTTTGATGCAACTTTGTTATAAGGAAATAAGAACTGGGCAGAAAAGTGGCTCTTTTCCTGTTTATTTTTCCCATGGCCTAAAATTGAAATAAAAAAGGAAAAGGAAAAATAGGTGTGTGTCTGTGAAACTAAAATTTGTAGAACATTTTGTCTTTCAGATAATTGAATGAAATACTTCTCCATGTAGTTAGTATGGCTTCAAAATATCAAAGATTCAAAGGCAGTGGTGATGCTGGCAATGTTACTGTATTTGCCTGCATTGGCTGGCATGAAGCGTTCATTGACAATAACAACTGAGTGTGACAATAAAATGATCAGTATTATCTTGCTCTTAGCCAAATCTAACGTGCATCAGTATTGGGAAGATTGTGTCAAAAAGGATATCACAAAGTAGGAAAAGATGATGAAAATGACAATCAACATGATAAAAGGGTTTGATTGGACTACCTTCTCTAAATGGCTAAACCTTCTGGGTTTGGGTGCTTTTTAGTTTAGAAAAAAATGATGACTAAGGAGAGACATCATAGAGGTTTATAAAATTATCATGGATTGGAGAAACCACATGGAGATACTTTATGTTCTCTGTCTCTCCTTTTATGTGAAATTGATGCCATTTAGTAGATTGAGGAACCATTTTCAGTCCTTCTTGTGAGCATCCCAGAGCCATCTGACTGGTCGCTGCTAGAAGTAAGATGAACCCAGGATCTGATCCGGCAAGGTTTTTCTTGGGCAGCTCAGCTGGTTAGAGCATGGTGCTGGTAACACCAAGGTTGCAGGTTCGATCTCTGTAAAGGACAGCTGCATATTCCTGCACCGCAGGGGGCTGGAGTATCTGGTCCTCCTGGTCCCTTCCAACTCATTAATTCTATGTGTATGTCTAGGCCTATGTTCCTGGGTACTAAACAAGCACCACTGTTCGGACTTGATTCTGGGGAAGTACTTTAAAAACCCAAAACAACCTCTCCAATTTGTTTCAGGAATGCAGTCTGGAAGTCAGCGCAACATATCATTCTTGCAACATGGTGGCAAGGCCTCTATGCGAGTCCACCGGTGATACCTCTTCTTTCTCACTTGACTCGGATTTTGCATTTTGAAATTGGCTGGCAAATGTTTGGCAGAATTTAATGAAAGACTTCAAGGAATCCAGTGGGTCTAGTCCCAGGTAGCTTACAGTGCATGGTTATGTTCTATTATTAAAATATGATTGGCCATATTACATGATTTTAAATGAATAGCTAAAAAAGGGCTAGGGGACATTTTTCAGCCAAAGGACCACAGGAAAAAGCAGGCACAGCATTGAATGCACATCAGGATAGTTTCTATACAAAGTCAAACCCTGCTTCATCCTTCATCCAGACAAGCAAATGTCACGATCAGAATTCAAGGACTCATTCAAGCCAGACACAGTTGCTCAAGAAGGGTGTGAAACAAGCCCAGTGAGAGGCATGTTATGAGGAAAGTTGAAGTGTTGGACCGAGACGCCCAGGTCACATTTGGTTCTGAGACCTGAGGTTGTATACCACTGATCTAAATGTATTGATACTTTATACTAGAGGGCCTAAGGTGTTTATTTTGTGAATGTTATTCTCAAAAATACGACTTTATTCTGTTTCTGAATGGCCGTGAATAAGCCAAAACACTATTTCTGAAACCAGGAAATTAAATATTTTTGTTTACTATGGTGTTTATAGTTTCTGTTTTGAACTGTGTATTTTGGGTCTATGAACTGCAATATAACTGTGTGTGTTTTGAACTGTCACCCCATCTATCTTCCCAAAGGTGCAAACAGTTTTCAGATCTGTGTCTAATACTGAGCATATCTGACATTATTGGTTGATTAAAGCAAATACATTTATATGTATATTTTTTATTTTTAAAAATACATCAAAAAGCACAATTTTAGATGCTGGCCATAATTTCATCTGTTTGGCCAATATAGGAACATGAAATGAGTCCTACTGGACCAGGCCAAAGATCTTGTCCAGTATGCTAGCCTTACAGTGGCCAACAAGATGCCCATGGGAAGAGTACTGAAGGAATGGAGGCTCGTCAGTGGCACTGTGTGAAGGCCCCCCTGAAGTCTGGTCTTGGCCTTCTAAGTGGCAGACACACTTTCCCTGGAACAAATACTGGAACAGATTCACCAAGCACATCAAAAGCGAGAATACACTAACTGAAGCAAGATGTAAGTCGTTGACTTTACTTAAGGCCAAGTGCATGATGTTATTCCTTTTGAAGAAGTCATTACAAGTCCACCACTAGACTCCCAATTAACCCTGATGTATAGCTCTCATTTTTACCTTTGTAAAGATTATCTGAGATGTTAAAAGTTGGGGAGAGATGCTTTTATGAAATGAAATAAACTCCATTTTTATAGGAGTATCAATCTATAGAAGTACAGAGGTGTCAGAGTTGTCTCTCCCCCTCCTCACTTTCATATATACTGTAAAGTAGATTTTGATGTAACAGGGAATGCCTCCCTTTGTAGTTTTGTCTTATGGGTCCCTCACTCTTTTAAAATACAGCAAAGAAATCAGAGGTGTTTGAGGAGATCAAATGCACATATATTTCAGACGGAACTCACTGTTAAAAGTTATATTTAACGGCATAAGGCACCAGTTGGGTTAGGCTGTGCACAGCTTTCTTTTTATTCCATACATATTACTAAAGTTCACTTGAGACTTGACAGCTGCATAAAATGAATATAAGTTGTGAGAAATACAGATTATTATGATGGTTAGGTACTTCCCATGCAAGTGAAGACAGGCTGCGGTGGAGTGCTAACAACAGAAATAATAAAATGCAAGGGGACGCAAGAAAATATAAGAAATTCTGACAAAAGGTTGAAGGGTTTGTTATAGGAGCATCCACATAATTTGACTCTCAGTTATCTGATTCAATGAAGTCCTATTCATGTATTATTCACATGTAGGGCATGGTTGTGTTTAATCTGCAACAGGTCTGCAATTGTCAGCCCTGCTCAACATGTGTTAGCCTTCCTCCATATGGCGGTGTATTGCATACCATAAGGGGCAAGGCTGAAGGTTCCATATTAAATGTGGCAATACTTACTTTTGAGTGAATAAAGCTATATTTGTCTGTATAATACATTCTCTAATACTCACATCAATCTTATGATGTCGTCAAGGTTTTTGTGATCAAAGAGTTTGCACCGCAAGCCAGTGTACTCTGCAGCACTGAATGAGGCTCATGCATCTGAATATGACCGTTCAATTATTGGAGTTTCCTACAAGCAAACAATCCTTCAAAAAAGCCCCTGTGCTCTCTACGTTTTTGGTTATTATGGATTAATCCATAAGCCCCTGACCTCCCACAAAGACTTAAAACTAACAAGTCAATAAACAACCCAGACCTGCACACAAAGTAAATCCCTAATATTCTCTCATCTACAAGTGAATGCAAGTCTAGAGTGGTATTGATTATGTAATTCATTCTGAAGTTTCTGCATGAGAGATCTCTAACAGCACAGAGGCTACCATGAGCCATCTGATATTGCATCCGCAATGCAACAATCCTGCCATCTGTTAAATTAAAGATTCCTTTAAAATGCCCATTAAGCAACTTAACACTAAAGCTATGAACCACAAATTCAACCACACTCCTCCCCTATGCGACCACCTCAAGGAGTCTCTCCTGACATCAGACCCACTCTGCAATGCTGCAGAACGCAGACCTGGACATAAAGAACTTGGGAGTTTTTGTCAGAGCAGGCTGCAAATAGATTGTGGCAATTTCATTATAACACAAATTGAGCTTGTGTAATGCAACGTACTTCATGTTCAAGAACTCTCATCCAGTGTGGTGTAAAAATAAATAGTAGAGATGATCCACACCAGCCTTTGCAGACCTGGTGCTGTCCGTATGTTTTCCAATCATTCCCAATCACTTGTAAGTCGAGGCCCCGCCACCACTTGGAGATAAAATAATACACATGGATACAAGTATTTAGGTTAATGGGCTAAAAAAGTATTTAGGTTAATGGGCTAAAAAAGGCCACAACTTTATTGGTTACAGAATGTGAGTGATATTGGCATAGACATTGGATTGGACAGACAGATTTTTCGCTCCATAGAGCACACCGGACTATAGGGCGCACCTAGTTTTTAGGGGGGGAAATAAAGAAAAAAAAATATAAACCCTACACAAATCTGGAGTGGAGTCCCTAATGCCTCTTTCCAGCAACTCATGCAGCCAAGCTGGTGCCAAATGGTTTTCATTGCTTTCCATTGGAACACATTGGTGAGGCCAACAGGGGGCGTCTTATAGACTGGGCAGCCCAGGAACGCCATACACGCTTGTCCAGGCTTGCACCCTGGAGAGGTTACTTTGGTGCTGCTAGCACAGCAAAAACTATGTGGGAGGCAGCAGTTGTGAGTTACCAGTCTCTGCAGCTACAGCAGGCGCTATGATTCCCCAGTGGTTTGACTTCAACCCCAGAGGTGCACTGTATAGTCTCTTGAGACAGATCAATGCCAACAAAATATTCTAGAAGTGTTGGGGGGCAGTGTATAAAGCAACTGAAGGGAAACAACAATCACTACTGACAGGGCACTAAAATAGTTCTGACTTAGACCTCCACATGTTATGCTGGATTTCTAAGCACAGAGAGCTTTATTTTTTTAATTACTGTGATGGCATATTCACCCATGCAATCCTCCATTTCCATAAGTGGTACAATGCACATTATTTTCTCTGAAATTTAATCATTGCATTGAGAATCAAATGGCCACCCATTTTTATAAGTATAAGCAATTACTGTACTTGGATGCTCAAACTAGGCACTTACTCTTCAAGACAGGGGTGGTTAACCTGTGGTCTCCAGATGCTGTTAGGCTACAGTGCCATCATCCTTGACCACTGGGTGCACTAAGGGGGACTGATGTGAGCTGAAGTCCATCCGACATCTGGAGGGCCACAGTTCCCATCCCTGCCTTAAGGGAATCCTCCAGTATCTCTTTTATTATTCTTTTGTACATTTAATTGTAGGTTCAGGGATTTCAAAGAGCAAGACAAATATAGAAAAGGGGGAAATTGCTTTTGACATCTTACAGCACTTAAATGGATGCATAAAAATAGTAATTATAATATTCCATCTTACAGTTGCAGATTTCCCTATATGAGAAATCACTGTTTGCTATCCCAAATGGGAAATGGAATTAGTGTGGGAGATTAGTCTGTTCTTCTAAAACAGCACATATAATTTGTTTACCTCTTTCTTCACAATTTTCAAGCAGTTTGTGACAATAAGATATGTCACTGGGAATTAAACGGGAGCCACAGGTTTGAGGAATCATAAATCACTATAACATTGCTTTGCGAGGTGTTTTTGTTTGTTTGTTTTTTAATTATTCCTGGCTTTTGATGGGCTTTCAAAGCACAGAAATGATGAAAGGACTTGTTCGGTGAAGAAACACCTGGTGTGATCTAAGTTGACAGGCAAGCTGAACAATAAAAAGCAATAATTTACATATGTCCAATTTAGACGAATTGGGTAAGACGATGGCTGCTTTGCAGGGCAGTTTGTTCTCTTTTATGAGCTTTGGTTAGGAAATCTCTGATCCCCGTGAAGATCAAGACCACACTTTTACATTTGGTTTTCCCTTTAGCTTAGGTTGTTTCCTTTCTGATGTTGTATATTGAATGGGTGGGATCCAAAGGATATGCAAGTTTAATGTTCTTGCTCCTTACCCACCCCAGCCCACCGCTTCCTAGACTGTGTAATGGGAAAGGGAAATTGCAAAAAATTGAGCAGGGACCTTTGCACAAACAGGGTTGTGCTGTA